AAGATATTCTACCACTATATCAAAGCTCCCAGCTCAAGCCCCAAAACCCAGCTCCCAGCATCTTTTGCTAACAGCACCAAATCGTCAGCAAAGCTAACACGGACACACTCCTTCCCAATAGCGTGTATCCTGACATATTTACAATTTCTCAAGGTGGCACTCCATGATGAGATTAAAAAGGAGCGGGGCAAGGGATCCCCTTGTTTTACTCCTCTACGAATTGGCACCTCAATTACTTTCGAGGGGAGCTGAATGACGGTGGAAACATCGGCGTAAGAGTCCAGTACCAAATTAGTAAAGGCATCAGGGATCCCTTTTTTTCGTGTCACTGACTGCTTCATGAAACATTTGAATATTAGCGAAGCAGCCAGGTTAAGGGATAAACCCTTTCTGGCGTGGATTGAACTTCACCACGGACCGAATGCGAGGGAGAGTAAGTAATATACTACATTAAGGTAATATTAGAGAAAATAATATACTACATAAAGAAACAAAGTTTATCCACTTATCCGATTTCAATGCTCCTACGCGATTTTCCGTGGAGAATTCTTCAATTTTTGCCGTAGCATTACAACACATTCTCTCTACTAAGAAAGTACATAGTACAGTGAGAAAATAAAAAGTGAAAGATAACAGTTCTGCAAATGAGAGGACACATTCAATTCAATTTGTCTACAAACTAAGACAGCAAATAAACCATTATTTTAGATCCTCTTTACACTCGTATTATTTGATGTGGTTGTAATCTTAATTCGTTTATATAAGAAAAATTAAACAATACTCGTAGTTCATAGTCTGAACATCATTTGACAATTAAAAATTATTATTTCCAACTTTTCTCTTCAGTACTCTTCTGGTGAATTAAGTAGGCTATGCGTCAATTTCATCGGATTTTTCCGTATAGTGTTAATTAAAAATATTGTAAATACGCATTAAAAATCCATACTAATAACATACACATAACAATAATATATTAATAAAAAATGATAATGTTTTTAATAGCCGCTCAAAGATAATTTCTATGGCTCTGAAACGTCAAGGGACCGGGATAAATTCGGACCTTTCATTTGTGCAGCTAGTGGACAGTGAACTTTCGCCTGACTGCAAAAGACGCAATTAAACAACGATGCAGCCGACTGCACATGTTGACATTAAGAAAGTATTCTTATTAGGCTCTTTGTCTAATCATATTTAATTATTGCTAAAGGGGTCCTTCAAAATGCAATTGATATCATAGAATTTAGAAGCGTAGATATTTCGGCTGTTTTCATGGAAAAACATCAATCAAAAATTGAAAATGTCTTCATCAATTAACATTTTTTACAATCCATTGTACTATAGAATGTACTTTTTTATCTTTTGCAAATTTTAATGACTTTCACCTTTTACATTTCACTTTTAGCATAGTAAAATAATTCTTTTTGGAGTTTTCTCTACAAAAGAACATATTATTTTTACAAATTTGAATAATGGATAAAATTTGAATTTTGAATAATTTTAACCTCTGTAATTATAAATATTTTATATTTTATTGTTGTATTGCATACATAAGTACATATTACACATTAATATAAATATTTTCAAAAAATACCTGATAGTTTTTAAACACTCATATTGTAATCATACAAACATTTGTCTTAAGCCTGCATTTATGTCCACGAATTAAAATTAAAAATTTACAAGACATTATTTCTAATGACTTATTTTAATAATTATCTACTATAAAATTTTAAAATTAAAATGCATTTCTTTATGAAACGAATTTAATAAATTACCCCATCCCCAGTACTTTATTATGACATATTATTCTGCATCGTAATCAGTTCAGCCGTTCCAGAGTATATCCGGACTAACAGACAAAAATTAAAATTGAATTGGTTTTTATATCACATAAATACGCATTTGAGATTATTAAAGCGCAGTTGTTTCGAAATTACAAACAGACACAACAATTTGATTTATAGATATAGAAAATGTTTTTTATTCTTTACCTAATCTTCCGGTCGTTAGGATTCAGCTATTGACCCAAAACCGCAATGGGGTAATGCAGTGAGGAAATATAATATTAACGGGTAGAGAGCTGTCCATGAGACAAATATACTCCAATATAGATTTATTCTCAAGAAATTAAAGAACGAGATTCCCCATTACATTTTAAGCTTAGAATAAGGCATTAATCATCCGTAGCACCTAAAGGCTGATCAACGTATTTTCTTATAACAAATAAATTAATTATTACTTAATTGACACGTTCCATTGAATTATAGACAGACAACATTAAAACACAACATACATTTTTAAATTAATTAACATGTATTTTAAATGAACAATCCATACGAGGCAATGTTTCGAAGGAACATGATTTTTATCTTCAAGCTTGCATACGTCATAAACTATAAAAACAAGGAAATGATCAAAATTGTAAAAAGACTAAGGATATGCATAAAAGGGTCAAAACCAAAAGTTTAAAATTAACATAATTTATATGTACATCTGGTTGGTTGAGAGCGGAAATTACATTAGGATTGATCAAGAAGTAAGGGGTCTATAATGTCACATAGGTATTCAGTTTTTGAAGTTACTCCTGAATGATATAATTTTGTAAAATTGGCAATTCAGATAGCCAATATATCTGAGTAAGATGTATTTATTCTTGATAAGAGGTTACAATAAAATACAATGAAGTCCTTATGAGAAATTCAATTTTTTACAAGACCATATGAAAAATTGAAACTAAAATTAAAATTAATATTACAGGATTTGTGAGGCAAAGTAAGCGCACAGTAATAGAAATTAATTTTAAAAATTACTGTTGTATTTTCGTGTCGGCTGTCTATAATCCTATGGAATGTGTCAATTAAGTAATAATGGTAGTAACAGTCATTAGGTCAATTTTTTAAATTAATGAATTCTTGAAAAATAGTTGAGGAATTAGCCGAGACGCAGACATCGTTTGCTCGTTTGTTTGAAGTATCGGGCACCGACCAGTATCTATTTCAGTGCGAAAATACTCTTAGATACACAAGACATGATACTAGATCTTGCATTCAATCACTCAGTTAAGATACATTAAATACGTTCAATTAAGATACATATCGTAGACACGACTTCGATATACATGCTGATATAATGAAGTATTTATATCATTTATTTGTTATACTTATATACTTTTTTTAATATTTTATTTACTCAAATTTATCTCAATTTCATTTAAAAAATTCAAATAATGCAAAATTAACAAACATCATTAATTATTATTAACACATGTAGTTCGGAAAACGAAAATATTTTAAAAATGAAACAAAGAATGCATGAAAATAATATCCTGATTTTTTACACGCAAAAAGATGAAACTGTCAACCATTTCTGATACAAACATTACTTTGTTCAAATAAATAATTATAATTCTTTGAAAGTCTGCTGTCGCTCGTGCTTTATTCGCCTTCCAATCAAGGGTAGAAAATCACCCATTCAGTTAAAAAGAAATCTAACCTATAAACCACAAACTCTCCCGGAACATCGAAATGACTTCGGACGCCCGACCCCCCGTCGCGTAACAAAACCGCCCCGATCACGCGTCCACGAAACGGCGCAAAGGCGCCGAAAAAGAGCAAAACCTCGCCTCCTCTTCTGAGCAAACATTACGCAAGTCTTTCGCAAGGGAGCCGCATGCGCTTAGCATGTATTAGCTATCAGGGCGCAGGCGCAATAATTAAGGTGACGGCGGCGGCGAGGCGGAGAGCGGCGCAAGGGCGAAAGACGCGGGGTGCGGGGCGTTGAGGGAAGGGGCGGCGCACCCTCCACCTCAGGAGAAAGCTCCTCGTGGCTGGATTAATATGCTTATCTCCTTTTGTTTGGCAAATATTTAGGACCCCGTGATGGCTTAGCCGGTCTGTATAAAAGGAAGCTGTCTCCGTAGCTGCGGCACAAGTCACATCCGCGCTTGTGTCTGTGCGAGCTTGTCTGTGGTGACGTCGATTTTTGCGACCAGTGAAGAGAAAATGGCTTACAAGGTAGGTGAGAATGATGGAAATTGTAGTTAGGATGAGTTGTGTCCAAGACAGATTGGTCGGTTGATCATCGTTGCAACGTTGATCCAACTGAACCTTCCGTGTGAGTGCGCGCATTTTGTGGTGCAAGTTCTGGATGCCGTCAAGAAGACTTTCAGAAGAACGTTAAGGAACTTTAGAATGAACGTTTTGCTCTACACAGAGTGAGACTTTGAAGGACGTCTAGTATTTTAGAAACATTTGATCTAGCTTAATTTATTACATGCGTACATCGGTCGATATCCTTTTTTTTCTTCAAAAAACGCCGGAACTATAGAATGAACGTTTTGCTCTACACAGAGTGAGACTTTGAAGGATGTCTAGTATTTTATAAACATTTAATCTAGCTTAATTCATTAAATCGGTTGAAATCCTATTTTTTTCAAAAAACTGCCGTTTTCCTTTTAATTGAAACAGAAAGTATTATCGGTTATCTTTACAGATTCTATGTGCCCAAGGACGAATCGCTTAAAGGTAAAAAATATAGGATATTTGTAATTTGATGTAAGGTACTGACTAAGGTACAATATAGGTCGCATATAAATCACATGTCTACGGTTACGGAAATTGCAGTCAAACTGACAGTCTAGGGAAAAATCTGAAATTAATGAGCCATTAACTTTTTTTTGCTTTTTAAACATTAACCTATAAAACATGGTTACTAAGAACCGGAGTACGTGGGAGACGTAATGAAAAACATTAACTATAAGAGAATACACGGAAGGAATGGAAAGAGAAACTGGAAATTTTATATAGTCAGCATCAAGTCATGCGGGTAATGTTTTGAGGATGATTTTAGTTTTTGTCATAAAATGATCATACGGTACTATGTTCTTTAGTAGCTTTCGCTTTTGCTCAGCTGTGAATTTTTTCCCTGCAACGTTCATCCTTGACAGAGTAATACATAACATAGAGTTATTTTGAAAATCGGACGTCCTATTTCACTTTATTCTGTATTGTGCACAAATAAATAATATAATATAGGATATGGTGTATCTATGACGGTCCTCCAAGATTGAACTTGAGTTATTAAAAGAAATTGTGGTTAACATTGCTAACTACCTTTTATATTTTATAGAGCTAAAACTCCTCTTATTCCCATGCTACTACAACTATACAAATACACTCTTTCTATTATATGCCGGTTCTGCAACGCAACTATTGAATCATTGCACAAAACATATTTAGGCTACATTCTACTTGCACGTCCGTTGTCGTTAAGCTCGTCATAGGTTCTAACACAGTACTTAATCTAACATTAATTCTACAATATTTGGCTGAATTTTGGCAACCTGTTCGCAACATTCAGAACATGAACTCCAGCAAGATTCAACCGTGTGTCTTGAAAAGTTTAGGCTTCGCATGTCGTCATATTGCAGTCCAACCGTTTCAGTCACCAGTCTGCGGTAGACAAATTGGTTCCCATAATATTTTTGTCTTCAACACTTTTGCAACTGAATTGTGTTAACATAATGAAGCAATATGATTACACAAGTGGTATGTGCTTGCAGGCTACAGTATTTAATTTGCAATAAATTTCTCTTTACCACCAAGTAAAACGTTTATATAATAAGTTGGGACAAAAAAATGTCCCTGTAAGCAGTACGTCTCTTTGCATCGGAAATTCGTAACATTGATTGACACTATTTCATAAGAAGTTAAATCATTTGGATAAACCAAACCTTAGTTTTGCATTTGAATTTAATTCAATTTAATCTATCACAGATGTCTGATACTAACTAAAACCTTGAAATCATCATCAACCTGGGATTACTACTGAAGGCGAGGGAACATTTTTCCTTAAATCTGAACGCTGGGAAGAAATATGTTATTTCTGCACTTTGTACATTTTTGAACCGGAGTACAAACGACAATGTGGTTTTAAAACAAAAGACGTTCACATTTGATATATTATATTAGTCAAATTCTAATTAATTCCAGGTCAATACACTTTGCAAGCCCAGCACGACGTAATACAGTAAGTAAAATTACATAGAAACATAGATATTAATTTTTTTCATCCCTTTTTAACACCTTACGTACACTCCTGTGAATGTCTAACTTTACTTTTTTCTCGATTTACCTCACCCTTAATAAAAAAATTTATCCAAGTCTTAAATACATATAAGGAAAATAATATTTAGCTTGAGGCTTAATTCTGGAGTTGAAGGTGAATGTGACGTTTTTGTCTATGTGATTAAGACTTAATTTTCATGTTTCCTTTGTCTTTGAAAAGAAACAAATTACCTTACTTTATAAATGTGAAGAAACAGTATTATGCTAATAGAAATGTACACAGTCATTACGTAAGATTATAAGTCTTAGGAGTAGTAAAATGCTATTTAATATCTTTATAGTGTTATCATAAATCACTCAAGAGGGGCTTCGAAAACTTCCGGATGTCCTTTTGGTCCTTGGCTCTACCTCTCTCCCTGACGCCTTCAAAAGATACACAAAGGTTTCCATTTCCTGGTAGAGCGATACGTTTTGAAAACGTTCAGGAAGTGCAGAGTAGCAGTGACATTAAATCCTGACACGTGGGGCCATTTGAGTGTTTTGCAAAATTTGCGCTCGCCAAACCGCGAACCAACTTTAAAAGCCTTGAGTTGGGTCAGTGCGTTGCTTTTGAGGTTTTCTAAACGCGCACTGTTATTTGGGATGACAAATGTTCTAAACTTCAAGATCATCTCGTGACTGGTCTTTTAGGCAATGATCTAATTTTTTAGAACATTTATAAATAATACTAGAACGTGAAATTGTAATTATAAAAAATGAATATTTGTGGATTTTTTAAATAATTTATGTTATATACATTAATAGTCTTAACAGACCCTTAGCTGGTGGAAATAGATAAATATATTTTGATATCTATTACGCTAAAGGTAGGCGTTCCCTAGACATTTGGTGTTGCTGTGAAACTACGAAGCTACTCTAATATTTGGAGTCAACTTGCAATTTGATGTCCTCACTTCCAAGGGGTCTAGATATCGTCATTACTCAAAAAAAAACACAGGTTAAGTTTGCATAACGAGCAATGAGTTTATTTCGTGGATAAAGAGAAACTATTTTATTCTATGTTCATCTGCTGTCTTGAAAACTATCTTTATGACGTTTTACTAATAAAATTAGACATACACGCACATATTTTTCTAGTAAAAATATACTTTTGTCTAAAAACAGTTATTCACTTATCTTAATAAAAAAATAGATGTCGTCGGTGAGACAAAAACGTTACACACATTAAAAATCACAGTTTTTAGTCAAGCTAAGAAATATATTTACAAAATAGCATAAAGCTAGTATAAAATTTCGTAAAGATAGTTCTCAAGATAACCAATATATAAAGAAAGACACTAACTTGTATTATAAAACAAAACTAGTCTCCAAACATGTTGAAAACATCTTGCAAAATGACAATATTTTAGATGCGCCACCATTCTTATGCATAGGTTTCATTGACTTGATTTATTTATCGCCAAAGTAAATATGTGGTGTTCGAGGGAGATGTATGATCTACATTTTGTCGACCCTCAGAATTATTACTCCATTCTGATACGTTAATTGTCTCGTTTTGTTGCAGTCAAGGAGATTTCGTGTTTCTGCCGAACACCTATGTAGTTTTCAGTTGTATAGATGCTTATATCTTCGTTATATGAAACCTCCAAATACATGACCATTGGCAAAATGAGACAATTTTCCACTAGTCACATTGACCTAGAAGCTTGTAACATTTATTCCGAGACACCTCGTATATATGTGTCTCTTTACAAATGCGGCCTGAAATTCCATTGCAGCCCAGACCAGACCATTCCATTCCAGACTGAGGAGGCGCAGGGGATCAATTGATGGCACTACAGTGCCTCTGACCCGGAGGTTCTAGGATTTGAGTTCTGACAGTGGCAGAATTTTCAATTTTCAACACCATGGAGGTAGCTATGTCGAGTTCAGCCGCTGTCTGTAGAGAATCATTTTAACGGCCAGCTGCCCTGATTGTTTTCTCCCATCACCACTAGGTGAATTCCAGAGCGAACTCTTATAAACGGGGCCCGGGTGGCCTGCTGGGAGCTTGGAGAGGCTTCCGCGACCGGAGTTTGTATCTTCTAGGCTATCCGGGATGCGCCTCGTCTCGGTTTTGATAGCTAACGTTTCGGCTAACATGTTGTGGCCTTCCTCAGAGCGTACTGCTGCGTACTTGAGCAGTACGCTCTGATGAAGGCCACATGTTGGCCGAAACGTTAGCCATCAAAACCGAGACGCGGCGCAACCCGGATAGCCTAGAAGATACAAACTCCGGCCGCGGAATCCTACACAATCATAGCTTGGAGATCGTCCTGACTGAGGCGATGCCCCGGAGGTGAGAGATACCTGGTTGGAGAACACCCCTCAAGCCGTCTTGAAGATCGATGCTGGAACATGCCACCCAGCTGGGAAAGATCACGCCCCCCGTATTGTATGTTTTATCACATCCCGTGATAAACATAACCTACACTTACGGTACCAATGATAATTCAGCCGGAACCCGAAGGCGCATTCTTAGCAGCAGAAAATGTCTGCTAACACTAACCAATTGCGTTGCAGGTGGCGCTGATGGCGGCTGCGCTGGCGGCGGCGCTGGGCGCGGCGCGCGCGGGGCTGCTGGGTGTACCCACGGCCGTGGGCTACACGGCGGCGCCCGTCTTCGGCTCCGCGGCCTTCGGGTCGCCGGCCTTCGGCTCGCCCGCGGTGGCCGTGCGCGCGCCGGCCGTCGCCACGCAGACGGGCAACATCGTGCGCACGCCGGGCAACCTCGGGCAGGTGCGTGCTTCTCTCGGCCGGCGCGCGCGGGCGCGCTGCCGCGGCGCGTAAACAATTCGGACCACGCGCGGGATGGAAAGAGGAAGTCGTGAGGCGTTTCACGGAGAGGCTCTTCGGCCTCTGTTGACATCACGCGAGAGCGAGTCAGGGGCAATGAACGGCCGACGTGTGGGGTGCTGCCGGGGAAAGCATGATTCAAGGTCGTTGCTCTAAAGAGTCTTGTCGAAAAATGACCAGGAATTTACGTACTTCTGCAATAGTTCTCTAGCAATATCGTGGGAGGCAACAGAAATGGGTGAGTGATATGAAAAGTAACAAGTTCACTAAGTTTGTTGTTTTCATTTCATGTTAACTATCAGTTTCCGTCGTGAAATAAAAATTATTAATAATAATGATAATAATGTCCAATTACTCAAGATTGAACATACTTATCATTTTATACGATCTATGCGTACCTCGCTATGTCTCACTGGTGCGAAGTTACCGAGCAATATTGAAATACGAATTAAGTTAACAATCGCTCAACGCATGCCAATTTTTTTCTGTATACAAGTATAACTTCACTTATAATGGTTTACTAGGAACGAGATAGGTTCAATAATTTGCATTTAGCGTAAAGATGTATTAGAAACAACAATAAAATTGTCTGAGAACCCCTCCCTTTCATCAAGCAGAGACCTCATTGTGATGTTAAAGCGTACATGAGTGGATTTTCTGATCTATCAGTAGTTTATAAACGCGCGGCAAGCATAACATTACATTCGTTCATCACTGAGGACTAGAAAGCACACACTCCAACCTCTGCTTCTTCCGAAAATTTGTAAAAGATCTGTCAATTTTGTAGAACATCTATCTTAATCTGTGGTCTGAAATACCCGTGCCGGAAAATGGGTGCAGTGAATTTTCCGTCCATGTACCAGGGATCGAAACCCACGTATAGGGTTGACTTATTAACTTCACGAATGAATTGGGACGCTACTATGTTCACGTTCTGTCATTCATTAACGATTCATTTATTACTTTACCACCCGAGAGAGGAGTAGCAAGTGCATGACTTTTAGGCTGTCCGGTCGTTGGTAGATAAGCCGACGTTTCGCCTGTCGTAAACCTGAGCCGCGGAAGCCTACGTGTTCGAGTTTCTAACCCCTGGTGTGTCGCAGGTGTCGACGCAGTCGAAGACGGTGGACACGGCGTTCTCGAGCGTGCGCAAGGCGGACGTGCGGGTGAGCAACGACGCGCTGGCCTTCCCCGGCGGCACGGTGCACGCCGTCCACGCCGCGCCGCCCGTCGCGTACGCCGGGCCCGGCGTCGCCAAGGCGGCCGCCCCCGCCGGCGCCGCCGCCGCCGGCCACGCGCTGCTCGGCGTCGCCTACTCCGCCGCCCCCGCCGTCGCACACATGACCTTCGACGGCCTGGGCATCAGCTACGCCTACTGAGCCCCACCCCCACCCCCACACCCGCACCTAACAGCTCGCTGGAGGCTTCCTGCATAGTCACCCCGCTTCGCGCATAGTAACATTAAGGCTGTTCTCTGTACATAGTTAATTATGTTTAGTATAAATAAATATTTATGGTTGCAATTTTTTGTTATTTACTACCTATTTTTTCTCACATTCCAATATACCCTCTTTTCCTATGATTCCCAGTATTTGAATTAATTACATGATGAAGATGATTTGTTCTCATTTTTCCCACTGCCCCACCACTGCACAACTTTCGACGTCTTGGGCATTAGCTACGCCTGTTGATATCCACGCACACCGTCATCCCCGTTCTATTCTCACCTAAAATCTTCATAAACTTACATTTCCTATACCAGAGATTATTAAAGCTTTTAGGTAATTTACATGAATACGAAATCTTCTCGTTTATTCCGTTAGATCCGGCGTCGCACACATGACCTACGGTGGTCTGGGCATCGGCTACGCCCACTGAGGACACCACCTACACCCTCATTCACACCTAACAGCAGCTGGAGGCTTCCCGCGACACTCCGCTTCGCGCGTAGTAACATTAAGGTTGTTATTTGTTCATAGTTTATGTTTCGCATAAATAAATATTTATGGTTGCATTATTTGGTTGTTTACTGATTCTTTTCAATCACAGTCCAAAATTCACTCTAGTTTTCTATGAAAAATATTATCCAAATATTTACACTATTTATGTGAGGAAGACGATTTCCGTCCTGCCGTCGCACACATAACATTCTCGGCCTGGGAAGTAGCTACCCTTATTGAGATCCACGCTCACCATCAAGCCCGCTCCATCTGAACCAAACATCTTCATTAACTTCAATTTATTATTACAGTTTCTAGTTTCTAGACGTTTCTAGACGTTTCTAGATGCTGATTCTAAATGTGTCTACATGTTTCTAGAACCATGTAGAAGTTTCTAGATGCCGTCCTGGATAGCCGAGGTCGCTAAGGCCGAAGGACCGTAACTGTGTCCTTCCTGATGGGTCTCGGATTCGAATCCCGCCCTGGGCACGGATGTTTGTGAGTGTCCGTATAGCGTTACCGTTCCCCCCAATGTTACTTTCAGTGGTCGCTAGATGACCTTTGTAGTTGAAAAGCGACGTCAAATAAGTAAAAAAATATATTATTTCCGTGAAAAAGGCCAAATCTTGTCGTTTACTCCGTCGCACCCGCCGTCGCACACATGACCTGCGACGGTCCGTGAATTAACTACATCTATTAAACACCACCTCCACCCGCATTTTTAACTGCACCTAACAGCTCTCTCGCAAATAGATTGCAAGCGATGGAACAGCCAAGTATTGTATTTCTTATAAGAACATCATCACTCACTCACACAGTGAGATAAACAAACGTTTCTTCCGGTGCATTTTCTTCTCATTCTTAGCTATTGTGACGTATCAGAAATCTGTGAAGATATTTCCGTAAGCTTACAAACATTGGTGCAAGAAATACCGTACGGAATTTGTGAATATACAATTGAAAGATATAAGCAGATTTATAAACTTCATTAATGCAATCATTATCATTAATGAACTCAAAGAATAAAAATGAAAATCTGAAGAATAAATGTTAACTTTTTATTATCAAAGAAAGTAATAAGGTTGGAAATTGTAGAAGTTGCCATCAAATTTTCAATAACAGGATAATCAGCAGAACTTCCAGGAATTGCGGCTCTGTACAGAGTCGCACGTCCACATATAATAGTCAAATAAGAAGGTGAAGAGTAATAAGTCGAAATAATTAGAGTAAGTTAGTTAAAAAATCGTAAATTATTTCAAATGGCAGAATAAAATACATAAATAATTAGTGGGAGTTAGATAATTAAATAAAAACCATCTAATTATTGACATGTTAACTTTCCTGATCATATTCTACATTCAGTGAAGTCAAGGAAACGAAGGAAAATCAAAAACTCTCAGATGAGAAAATATGCATTACTACGGCGAATGCAGTACTTCAGTTTCCTATGGCCCATGTTATCAACGTTTCTAGTCGATTTGCCCGGTGACGATGTCTTCCAGTTTACGGCTTAGGAACCCTGAACCAGAGAAACCAAAATATTCAAAGAGTTCATATGTAGGTGATTCAAGACGGAGTCATCGGCATACTATGTCACTTCTGAAACGAGACTGATCCGTGTTTCCTATTCAGTATCTGAATAGGAAGTAAATTAAATATCAGCATTTAACAGAGGATCGTCCTTAGAGAAATCCCACACAAGTTTTGATATTAATGAATGATTTTAATATTTTGATATATGAATGAAGTTTATATATAAAGTAATTTGATTATAAATATCCAAATAACTGAAGAGTAGATCATGATCACTATGAATAGCCACATGTACCACCTTCACTTCTTTACTGCTCGTAACTCGGGCAGTGTGAAGGTGTCATCTTAGCTTTGTCTTCTACGTTTGGGAAGTCTTATTTTGCTTGACCATTACATTTAAAGTCGATTTCTGAATACAATCAGAAAACATGATCACTTCGGTATTGAACGAAACTCAGGGGAAGTGAATTGTCAGGTTTCTGAAAAAATATCTGAATAAAAACTTGTTTGCTTACAAATTAATTTGTAACTACTTTTTTATTTCATTTAATTTTCTCTGCATATGTACAGCAACAGCATCGTCTCTGCATTGTCTACAACAGATAGTTGCGTTAACTAAAGAATTCCAATGATTTTTTTCGTTTGGGTTTATTCGGAATTGTCGCGATATGGCATTCCGGCCCTCGCGAACGCTGACGCCGGCGAGTGACCCAGTTGGCAATGTTCTGATGGCTTTAGCAGATATTAGCCATATTCAAGGCAACCAGATTTTTGACAGTGAAATAAGCTGATAGAGAATGCAAGAACTGAAATGTTCATTAGTTTAATTAAATTAACGGAAAACGTTGAAAAGGGCACATTGAAATCCACCGTTCTCAAGATGTTCAGATAGAAATTCAATCAATAAACATTGCCTGAACATTATCTAACAGCTGCTATGTTTGCTTCGCTGTAATTGAGCTCTAGATGGACCTCCCAACGTATCATTCGGTTGTGTTTCAAATTAGCATATATGTTTTCGCCTTTCATTGAACTGAGCTCATGGAAATATTAAACCAACTTATAAGCAGATTTATGAACTTTACTGCTAAATCAATCACATATTTGCGATCACAAAAGTACATTATGTATTACTTTGTTAAAAACTAGGTTCAACTAGAGATAAGAAGTAACCTGAATCATATACACTAACAGTAAGAAAAATTTAAATGAAATGGAAGCAAATTTCGGTGAACAAAATATTAGACTATTCATTTTCTCGACTATTTGCCATCACAAAACAAGCTGAAAAAAATCAACATTTTCCCAAACTAAGATTATACAATTTTATTTTTCGATTCGCGGCGATTCTAACTTTTTTCTAGTATT